TGTGTGTGTGTGTGTGTGTGTGTGTGTGTGTGTGTGTGTGTGTGTGTGTGTGTGAATGACCAGGACAGGAATCGTTGCTTACCTGTTGTCTACAGCAAAACGGTGAGAAGCAATATCAAACTCAACATTCACGGCAACAGAGAATATGTGCCTGATAAATAGACAGACTGCGTTTTGCAACTATTATACTATTAAAAAAGCTCGAATACGCACATTATTAAGCGGTTCTTAATCGAGCCTTGCACTCACTAAATAGGAGGGAGGACGACTTTTCATATCTATGACAGAGGTATTGATGAATAAGCCCTTCGCGAACAGAAGTAAAAGGAGTTCAGAGTAACCTTGGTGCTTATACAGTTTTCCATCGCCTCGCTAATCCCGATTGAACCATCCCGATATGAGCGTGATTGAACAGGCAATCATCGCTGAGTGAGTTCTACTTTGTAGTGTGTGGGGGGGAGGGGGCATTAGCACTACGGTAGTAGTGGATAATAGTGATAAATAATGACTTCCGACCACTTCACTGTGAGTTGAAAGCATGACAAGAGGTCTTTCTCTTCAGTTCAGAATTGAGAATACGTAGGACATTAGACAACGTTACTCGCTGATCTGGAACCAAGCTGTGTCAGCAGCGGATTTTCTGCTTCTGTGGTGGCAACTGCTTTTGCGTAGTTTGCGCTACAAGACCGGTCTTCTGATGTAGACGAGGTCTCCGTTTACGCCAACATCTTCTACTTTTAGAAAGGAGCCACCCCTCTGGTCAGATAAAGTCATAACTGTGATGTGCTTTACCAAAGAAAGCACTTCATCACCCACACAACGTTCAGGGAAGCGTCAAGCCGGGAGAACACATGATTTTTTGGCGAGCTCTCTTGTTAGTCTACCTTTATGATCAGTTCAAGTATTCAAATCAGCGAAAGGCTTTCTCAACTAATTCGTCAAGGTTTCCCCATAAGCAATTCAACTCACGATTTCCGAGTTCCACCGTAGTCCTGTCGAGTATCCCCAACAGTATGCGTTAGCCTCACTCATGAACACTTTGTCGGAGCCTGTCAAGTAACATGCGAAATAGTCCATAATGTTTCCACAACGATTCCAGTGACGATCACTGTCGAAGTCTGCATCGGATGCAAGCTCGCACAATGTCCTCATACCGTAGCCAGGAAAAACACAGTTGCTTGTCGATCTGGAAAGGAGAATAGGCTCAGAAAAAGAAAATCCTTGGTTCTTCTTACATGTTAACCACCCAGTTGATATGTCTCTTTATCACTTGTCGACCTCCTGGTCTTAAGAAGTTGATGATTGAATTGTTTTCTTTGTTGGTTACACTGGCACAGCGACTTCTCCATGTCCATCTAATCTGATAACTTAACCGGAATCTCGGATAGTACTCATTTATATGCTCGACTGTAGATAACACCATTATCCGAAGGCCATGGTCCTCCCTGGCGATCCTCAGATTATTTGTGGTCGGATTAGTTCTGTTGCAACGAATATCGGAAAAACGAGAAAACGTAACCTAATTAATCGCGAACTTTCATGCATAGTAGTGGTAATCTATTGGCAAGAAATAATATGAAAATCTGTTCTCCTTACATGGTACTGACTTCAATCAACCCTTAGTCACTCAAACTCACTTTTTCAACATTCCGTTTCTATGTCATCGTCTTTCTAACCGATTTTCCGAGATCAGGCTTCATTATGAAAGTGTAAACAGGAAGAAACAACGAGAAAGTATAATTTAGGGACAAGGGCCCTCTTCGTATAATTCACTAAGTGTGTCTGCTGGTTTGTTAGTTTTTTATGTGTGCGTTTGGCGAAGTGTGTTTCACCGGATATTCATAACTCCTTCCCATTGAAGAAATGGCCTTCAAATTTGAAGGGGTTACAGATGAAAGGATGGAAACACGATGGTTGGTAATGGAAGTGATAACTTTCGATAGGAACCGATAAGGGGACATTAATGGTGAGAATTACTCGTCTTTCGAGTTAATCATGACACCCGGGCACTTTCGTAGTTGCTATGGGATGGTATGGGACCGTAGGTGGTGGGTGAGGACTGATAACAACTGACATCAGCTAATAAGTGGCCATAGAAGAGCGATATATCTGTTACACGCTTCGTGTCAGTAGTGACCCTGTCACTTCAGGAGGAAATGGTTAGGCAGTGAAAGTTTGATACCCTGATGGGTGTTGGGGATGTGGGGGAACGTACATGGTTATGATGAAGGAACTATGTCAACTGATAAATGCAAAGTGAGAAAAAGCCCTAGGAGGTGGAAGCCAGTAGACCTTTTGCGCCCTCCTGTTATCTGAGAATCTTGTCTTTGTTAGGTGCTGTGGTGTTCGACTGGATCGCACATAGTGACCGTGATGACAGTTGATGAAGGCTTATAGGGCAATAAGGCATTTTGAGAGCCAGAAGCCTTTTAGACAACTTACTATCCTTCTTATATATAAAGCAGTAACTTGGTTTGTCGGTTTGTCGGTATGTCGGTTTGTCTGTATGTCGGTATGTCGGTATGTCGGTTTGTCGGTCTGTCCGTCCGGGTTACTTTGTGATTATGATAAAGGTAGTGATATGGAAAACTTATTCTTCTTATATGAAAAGCAGTCACTTTGTGGGTAGGCTAATGGAGTAAAGTGAGCACTGCGGAGTGAAGTGAGTAATATGAAGTGAGGTGGATGATTCAAATTGTGATCTCTACTGTACTGTAATGGCAGTACTTCGATACTGGTTTGCTATACAGGCCTTGCACACTTCAGCACTTCAGTCTGATCTATGAAACGGGGGGAGGAGGGNACATGAATGGTCGACCGAAGCCGTGAATGATGATGAAATGATGTTGAATGATAGTAAAATCACTATCAGGATTTGTTATCCTTACCTCTTCTCATCTTCGTGAATGCAGACAGTTCGTCGGGATTCTCAGGTTACTGGTCATCGGACAGGTTAAGCCGCAATTGATATGAATTGAAAGAAAAGTGACCCTACAGTAAGCAATAAATTTGGAATCTTGGCGGAGCCACAAATTCTGAATCTTGATGAAGCCATAAATTTTGAATCTTGGTGGGCGTAACCCATAAAAGCTACAGGGTGGGCCAAAATTATGATTACACAGAAATCACATCGCAGAAACCGAATAGAAAGCCAATAGAGCAAACCAATTTCAGTAAAGGGTTTATCACAAATTCCTTATCAAAACTGTACATTGAATTTGGGATCTGTTGCTTTCTGCTTTCACCCAACCCCAAAGACGACGACGGACGGCATTGACGGTGGCACGCAGCTAGGGTCATCGAAATGGTCCCGGCTTTTTGCTAAGCATTTTCGGAATTATTTCTTCTCTTGTTTGGGCTAAAGGATGCTTTCATCTCAGTGGCTGACCACATTGAGACATTCATGGGATTTAGGTCAGGGCTCTAGAGTGGTCACTGATCGAAGGTTATGAAGTCAAAGAACCCCTTTCACGAAATTTCTAGACAATTTCTGTTCTGCGGTCAGGAGCTTCATCTTGACAATATGACCGGTTCGAATCACCAAAGTGTCCTATTGCGCACGAAGACATCGAACAGGTCTCTAAATCAACTTTCACTCCTTATTTTACAAAAATAATTGGTGCTTTTGCCTCGGCTGTGACACTTGCAAAGGATATCGCAGAAAGTGAGCAAGCCTAGCGCTGAATCACTTCCATTTCTTTCAGCTTTAGACAAATTTGTAGCCCTGCTTACTGGGCACCTTTTTCATCGCGGATATCTTTTCGCCGGTGATTAGGAATCCCGTACGACAATTTTTTCGGATGCAACAGGCAGCTTTTGTTAGCCAACCTTTCTCTGCTCTTTAACCTGCTCTCTGGGGAAGTCACTTTCTGATCGTATAAGGGTCTCGTTGTGCAGGTGATGCTTCACGATTTCACGCAGAAAATTTCGTGACATATCCATTCATTTGGCCTTTTTGGACTCAGAATGAATTTTGCTCCTACGTAGACCTCTGCCCTGCTTCCTTAACACTTCCCCTGAATATACACAACTCTCCTAGGTTCACCACTCCTATCTGCGATTGTTCCCAACTCTCGAGAGCGTCTTATGGTTGAATGCAATACTTGCCTTGTTTCGCTAGTTCATCTGTAGATGCACCGTGCCAAAAGTGTTTGTAAATGCAAAGCGACGTTTAATTCACAGACTAGTTACGCTTATATTATGTTAAAAATCTACCAAAAGTTTAGTATCATTAGAAAGGTAATAACGTAAGCTACTTTGTGAAATGAAGAAATTCAATGAACTGTTATGAACATAGAAAAAATTTGCACTGAACGTAAGCGCGCGTTGTAATCATAATTTTGGCCCACCCTGAAGTTCTTTCACTTGTGACTGACTTTAATTCAAATAGTATTGGAATTATCCAAACATTATTAAGTATCATTCGAGATCTGGCTGACTAACCAGGTTGCTCACTCTCGAAAAAGTCGGTGCGCCAGTTAAGTTAAGAAGTTCGAAAGTCAAGAATGAAGTAACATGCGAATTGATTACGCAGTTAAGATGTGAGTAATCTGATGAATTGAGTACCTGGGCAACTTAGCAGCAGCCTTTGTATCACCGGGATACATCCAGTTGTACAGCTCGGAGCAATCCAGATTGCCTGGAATTAGCAAACGTATGAGCACGTGTTTGTTCTCACAAAATGGTCATCCTCCTTCTGCAGTTGGAGTGCATTCATAATTGGGAAATCGTATTAGGCTGTTCGAAAAGTGTTTGCTCCAGGCTTTTTCTAGAATTCCAGAGTCGAATTTTCCCGTAGTTTCCTTCCATAGAAACATAAGAAAGGGACGCTGCTCACTCCTATGCACATAGCGCATGCGGGGATTTCACTACATTACATTGCAGTCGCTGGAGTAGGTTAGAGCCCATCTTCCACCTTCTTTTTTCCGATTTGGAAGAGGTAAAACGAGGCGCACACAGAATCGCTCAAGAGACGCTTAACGGTGAGTGCTTGACACTAATTTCGATGTATTAAAGCAATGGTGTAGCTGGATACGAGCTTGTAACAAATTTTCAGGTGTTGAGGAAATTATGCCTCTCGACTATGAAAACATGAAAAATGTTGTTCCCGAATGCGCCAAAAAGGACTATACTTCCAATAGCAGATAAAGAACATTGTTGTTAGACCAATACTATACAGCTCAATCGCTATGAGATTATTACTTTCGGCATGATTCTGCTGCTAGTCCTTTTGTTCCTGTATTTCTTACTTGCTGCTGCATTCTGCTACATTCCTTCGCGGGCGACGTCTCTCTCGCCGCGATGCGACAATTTCGCTCCTATTGCACCACACCGGGTGTGCGTCGTTAGTTACGACTGAGATCACTTAGCGCAGAGGTGCGAAGTGACCTCAATCGTAGCTAACCTCGTTACTTATGAGAGCGATGGTGAATGATGGGAATGATGAGCAAGTGAGACCCCAAGAAAATCAGTTTTCGACGTAAAATTTCCTTGGTCTCTGGTTCAAAGAGTCTTACTACTAGTAGAATAGAAGAATTCTATAGTTATAAAATTGAAATTCGTGTAAGATGTAAAAAAACATTCTTGTAAAAAAACGCAAGAGTATTCCGCTAACAAATGAGAGAGATAGTGTTTCGAGCTCCTGTTTCATACCAATTCGGAAATTTTTGAATGTGATGGATAAGGCTCGACCTCTCCACGGAAGGACGTTGGGCTGGAAAGCTTAGTATAACCTGACTACCCCCTCCCCAGATATTTGATCTTCACCCACACGATTATCATACTTTGAGAAGCGCATAAGCTCGCTGTAAAAGTAAAAAATCGAGCAATCGCCAGGAAGTCAAGTAGCGGTAAATGAACGGATTGCGTGGCGCTTCTCTTCCTTCCGAGAAATGGCACCTGTCCCATTGATGGAGAGACATTGTAGCTGAGAGGGGCCCTATATTGAGCACTGAACCAACTTATAATCGTTATAGTTAGTTTGTGTTGGAAAAACGAACTGTATTTTCTCAAAACTCTCCGGGAAAATTAATAACTGTCGAGGAGAAGGAGACAGTTCACCACTATGGGGTTTAATAAGCAAGGAAGAGGGAGTTGGCTATGTTATGCGCATGCAAATGGGAAAAGAGCAGTCGGCCAGAGCCAGTAACCTCACTGCATTTCAGCCTTTTATACTGGCCTTCTACAGCTATTTTCAAGCAAAATGATCAAAAATAGGTGTGATTAGTGGTCGCTGGGTTTGTGCCCCATGGTACAATCACCCGACTGCGGCCTGCGTCTGATTTTTTATAAGCACCCGGTCAGGACTGTTATCCGATGTTAAGCAATGTTAATCAAGATCGAGAAAAATCAAACGGGATTTCTACCTGACCATTAGATTATTTGGGAAGAATCTACCAAGAATTTTGTATTAGTGCAGATCCTTTTTCGCTCTGGAACTCCCCATGGGATGCCGTC